ATTTGTTCCTTTAAAGGTTAACAAATTAGACACACAATGAGTTACAAAAAATATGTAGTAGATAATTTTACAATATACACTTGGTTTGAATTTTTAGAATACAAGTCACATAAATATCTATCATAGGTTATACATTCGTGAAGACAGAAAAATAACAATACATTTAGAGCGTGCGAAAAGTTAAGATCTATTGTACAATAGTGAGGAATGATATAGTGGAAGATACATGTTATACAATCTATACGACGAAACATTACATTTACATATATTTCTTTTGTTTTTGCATTGCTATTATAGTTACATTGTATTAGGGTGGTTTAGGAAAATATTTTAAGATAAACCACTCTAAAATAGATGAGGAATATTTGTAAATGTATAGTTGTTTTCTCTGAACGTTGAAAAACATGAGTAGGTCAAGCTTCGTATGCCTTGCTCTTTCTGATAATCGTTTAGGAAATTTTGAATTCTTTCGAAAACCACAGCTTTTATAATAAACTTTTGATGGGCAAGTAGCTATTAGAAATGCTGTCCATGTCTGTTGGTATAAGACCGCTTCTAATGACTGCTCTAGATGTTTTTCAAATTTTACCCAGTACTTATAAATATAATCTCGTAATGAAAATTCTCGAGTTAGAGCTAGGGTAGTTAAATCGTCCCATCCCCAAATATTATATATAATTCTTAACCCTGTCCCATATACGTGCTCTATGGTTGCTTTTTGTTTTTCAGTGTAGAAGAACCACGTTGCGAACAACCAGATAAAATGAGGAAGTGCATATGCACAGAAAAGTCTTTTACGTATTTTTATTTCATCTTTTGGAATTGCTTTGATCATTTTCTTTAAACCAGCATAAATATTTCTTACTTTTTTTAGTCTATTGTTTATGAAATTTCCCTAACCCAGTTTTGTCCCAATCTCAATTCCCAAATTTTTAAATGATTTTACATATTCAATTGATGTATTTTTATATTCTATTTTTGGTTTCTCTGTTGCTACTGCACTATGAATTAACATGGCCTTTGTCTTAGAGACGTTCACAGGTAAAATGTAGTCATCTGAAAAATTTTCAACTGATTTTAAAATCTCTTCTGCCTGTTTTTCTATATATTTTATATTATCAGATAGCCTTTTTTCGAGTGCTCCTTTAATAACTATAGTTAACTCATCCGCGAATAAATGAGACACAGTCTGAGCGAAATACCCAGGCAAGAAGTGTATGTGTATTCGAAATAATAAAGCTGCAAGAACAGATCCCTGTGGTGTACCTAGAAAGATTCTAATAACCCTGGACTCCGCATCTCCGTGACTGATCGTCATCGATCGGTTTTGCAACCAACCATAGATCCATCGACGTAAATCAAGAGGCATTTCAAGATCATTAAAAGTTTTGAAGAGTGCTGGATACCATAGACGGTCAAATGCCGTAAGAAAATCGATGAAGATTGCTAACACCGGATGATTTGGTGCCGCCACTGTTAGTCGTATATCTTCAATCAAAGAGAGTATTCTAGTTTGTAGCCTGCGATTAGCGGTAAACCCTGATTGTTCATCGAGATTTATCCCATTTTCGAGGCAGCAATTTTCTATTCTTTCTGCTATGATTTTCTCAAGCCATTTACCCATGTTTGGCAGCAACAAAATAGATCGAAGTCTGTCCTCAGTTGGATAAACTCCATCTTTGGACAAACATACTCCCCTCGCATGTTTAGCTCTCTCAAAAAATGTCCCATTTTCTGCGCACTTGTTAAAGAGTACTGTTATAACTTGGAAGTATTCGATTGGAAGATTTTTTAAAAGAAAGGCGGATATATTTACACTATCCATTGATTTTTTCGGTTTAAATTTTTTCCACTGTTTTATAACGTCTTCTATTTTTATTTTTTTGAAGAGGGATATTCGGAGTATATGAAATTTGAGTATATGCTTCTCGACATTTTGTATGATGTACATTATTTATATTATATATAGGCTCAGAAAAATGCTTTTCATAGTAATTAGTCAACTTATCGCAAATTTTTTGATGATCTCTCTCTATACCTTGTGGTGTTTTTAACCCTCGAAACGGTGGTGTATATTTTTTAAAGATTGGACTCGCTACCTTCCAAATATTATTATTCTCTCTCAAGAAAAGCAGCTTTTTATTTCTCTTTTTTTCTTCATACTTTCCTTTT